CTGGATAGTCCTGACCTCACTGCAGTTCATCCTGAAATCTGTGTTAAAAATTGGCACAGTGCTCTTTTACAGGATGGCAGGGGTAAGAAAAGTTTGAAAACAGCTTTTAAGCTATTGCAAAAGCAAATGTTGAAGGAACTGACAAGCTGCCTGGTTGCCCTGGTGCCTCTACTAAAGACGCCCAGAAGTCTTCCTCAGTGGGTGTTCTCCAGTTGGACCATCTCACACAAGGCCAAGCCAGCATGGACAATAGCTGGGGGATGAGAGAAGGTGAAGGCACAAACATCTGGCCAGCACCAAGCTTGGGAAAAGTGCAGGGGCTCTCCTATCCAGGCCTAATCCAACCCTTCTGATGCCAACATCAGATCCTCCTCAGAAACATGCTTGGGCACCCATCACTCAGTCAGCATGGAAACCAAAAGAGATGAACAAGGTTAACACACACACACAAATCCCAACATACCTTATAGAAGGGGGAAAAACGTCTACTGGGGTGGGGATGAGTGAGAAATTAAGATACACTGAATGCATCCTGCCCGCCCCCTACCTCCATGCTGTGCCTCAAAGAGAAATATTTTAACAAATATTAAAAACTATTTAATTAACTCATGGAGCAGGGAGGGGGAACACCTGTTTGAGGTGAATACTTGGGGGCTAATTTAAACTTTACACCCTGTCCTGCCATATTGTGACCCTTTACCACAGAGGTGACAGGGGATCTAGGGGCCGGAAGGAGACGAGGTTAGACTGAGCTGCAAAGGGCATCTGGAATAAGGGTAACGGACATTTAATTTAAAGGGGGATTAAAGGGGTGGGGAGATGGATTTCTAGTTGGCTGAAGTACAGGGACAAGAACAGAATATTGTCTATGGAAAAATCCCTCATAATTATAAAGCGAGAATTAATTTTGCTTAATGAGGGTTCTGGAAGTCTCAGGAAAACACACTAATTCAGGGTCAAGATTCAAGAGAGGCTGGGGTAGTGGAAATAGGAGCTTCTACTTTGCACAAATACAGCAACGAGACTGCTGTGTTTGTCCCTTTGGGACGGTCACATGGACCACTTGGTGCTGGTGATGGTGGATTGGAAGGAAAATCCCTGAGATATCTCATGCAGAGATATCCAGAAAATCCAAGGCTGAGCCTTACTGGAATCTGAATTTGAGTCTCCTATTTAGATCTTTACTCAATGCGCCTTTTGCTTAAAGGGTGGGGGCTGCATGGGAAGGGAAGAGCCGCAGCAGACCCCCGAGGCTTTTAGGAAAGCATTATTCCTAGTGAGTCCTGCATAAAATGTTGGTAATTATGCTAATTTCATTTGGAGAATGGTTTCCGTTATACAAACCTTTAGCACAGAAGAAGAATATGGATTCCTGGAGTTTTACCCTGGCACTTAATCATTGCTGTTTGCCTGTTGAGGCTTTTAAGGCTAATGGGTGGCTCTGAGTTCTACCGAATGCGGCACGAGTGGAAATTCATTTCTGTAGCCGTTTGTCAGGAGATAATACACCAAGCAAATTTAAGCAGACAACCCACTCCCTTGCAGGAAAGGAGAAGGGCGGCATTTTGTTCTCTAACCTTTCATCTGTTTGAAGAGAGAGAGCCCAAGTTAAATTCCATGCGTGCGATATCAAGGCTTCCGGATAAGATAAATACATACACAGCTTGTCTACTAAGACACAGCAACGCGGCAAGATCCTATCCATCAAAAAAGGGGATTTGACAAAATTGCTCTAGTAGCAATCTCAGCTTAACTGCGCCTCAGCGCCAGATCGTGTGTTACAACAAGGGCATTTGGGGCTGAAGGAAGAGGAGGTACAAACTCCGAGACCGGAGCTGCACGGACTGGAGACCAGCAGGCTTTCCGGGAAGGCTTACGGGGACATAATTTTTTTAAAAAGGGGGGTGGGGGGCGAGGGGCAATGCTTAAAAGGAAATTCCGTGGCCAAAGAAACAAGAAGCCATAACTGGGAGGTGCCACTGGTCCCGTGCTCTGTGGTAAGTGTTGCTAGAAGAGCAATGCTGAACTATCAATTCCAAATCAACATGACTGGCTTGTATTTCCCGGCCTTTCACCCTGCAGATTCTTCAAATACGTCTACTCGGAAGGGCACAAATGATGGGCCGCCTTCTGGCTCCTTCATCCAGACAGAGAGCAGAATCCGACCCTCCCTCCTGCTGCCTGGGAACCATATTCCCCATCCATCTGGAGTCTGCCAAGTTGGGGAAGGACCATTCAGCTGACGGGCAGAATGGGACGGATCCGTTTCCACCGTTTACTGGGCCAGGGAGATCTTGGGAGAGGCTTTCACGCAGACGCTCCTGCAGAGGACGAGCTCTGTCTCTGACAGAAGCACCCCGTCATCCTTCATGCAGGAGGAAGGCCTCTTCTGACTGAATGTACTATGCTCTCATAGCCAAGGCATGCTCTAAAGACGAAAACAGGCCTCCTGCTTCAGGAATAGTGCTCTCCACCATGGAGAAATTTATGCAGAATCAATTAGCTTAAACTCATGGAATTAATCCTTTTCCCCCCTTGATAGCCAAACCCATGCGCACGCGCGCACACACACACACACACAAAGCCAAGGGGAACCTGTACAGGAGACTGGATTCCACAAAGATTTGAAAGATGCCCAATTCATGCAGTACAAAGAGCCTATTTGTCTCCCGTTTGTGGCTGCAGGTAACACACAGCATGACAAGAAATAGAAGAACAGGGAGAAGGAAGACACACAACCCTCTATAAAGAAGATTAGCGCCTGTCAGCAGCATTCTGGCAACCAAATTAAGCGACATACTGACTCAGGAGGAACTGAGCTTAAAAGATGCGGGGGGGGGGAGGCGTATCTTTTCTTCAACACACACACAAAGTCAGAGGGGAAAACAGTGAAACTAACATCCATAGACTTGGCATACAGGAGGGGTTTCAGGTGAGGAGAAGCAAACCCAGGAGGGCCGAAGAGGGATACCTTTGATCTTGGGAAGACAGGAAGGTGCCATACAGCCCATATGGAAAAGAGCAATTTTGCTGGGGTCTGTAAAACATTCTGCAATAGACCTTGTGTCCTCCAAACGAGCCATTCAGAAAAGAGGCTGGTGCGGAGGACACAACACCTTGAAGGGGTCATCAAATTCTGGGACAACCCGGGCCAGGATTCTGCTCTATGGCTGGGCAGCCGTAACTGTGGAACACCACGGGCTTCAGTGGGGATTGAGTGCCTGGCTAAAAGTAGGTTCAAAGAAATACTGAGTAAGAGAAAGAGTCAGGGGCTGTCCAGTCCACGTTCCCTCCAACCTTGCCTGACCCCACGAGGCTGGAGGGTGGACTCAAGTCAAACCTCTTGCTCTGCTGAGGCTTGACTTCTTCTTCTCTTAGGTGAGAAGCTGAAACTTTCTCCATCAAGTCTGATCAACTCTGGCCTTAAGTTCAGCATCCCTGATTTACTAGCCAACTCCAACCTGGACATACTATTTTCTAAAACATCAGGATTTTGCTTTCAGAAATCATCCTGAACACCTTACAGCCTCTCAGCTGATCCGTGGGAATGAAAAAGTACTCATCTCCTTCTGCGACTGCGGGAGCACTATTGAAAGCAATGAGCAAGATGGCCAGTCGGGAAGGAGTGCAGCCAGCCACGGTGGGACACTGCGACCCAAGCTGAGGCAGTTTCCTCGTATTGCTTTCAGGAACAGCACGTTGAGCCCACAGGTATTGCCACATTTCCAATTTCTCCCAGTCATCAAATGAGCACCCCAAGACAGCAAAAAGCACACAATATTAATTCAAATTCATGAAGTCCCTTTGCATGGCCAGATGTGAGCATGACAAGAGGAATGCTGACTTTATGGCCCCTGGCTCCCCCTTGATCTGCTTCTTGGAGGGGGTGAAGGTCACCTGGAATCATCACCACTGAGCAACCCACAGAGCAGGCTAGACCCTATGACTACACAACTGTGGAAGTAAATAAGCCACACAGACAGATATCGGTTTTCTTAAGAGTCTGGAAGGAGAAAGTTGTAACAAGGCAAAACGCTTGACGGTCAACACAAGAAAAAATGATGGTTAAGGCACACTGAGAGGAAAGGTTTTGTTATTTCAGTAGACCCAACATTTCTGAATCTCAGAGAAAACAAAGCATGTGTGATCTAGCTCAGGGGTGAGAGCATCATGACAGACAGGCAGGAGGCCAAAGACTGCCCGATGAAGCAAGGTGGAAGTCACACAGGTTGCTTCTGAAGCGAGAAGAGTGCAGTCTCGCCTCCTGTGCTGGACTCAATGCACAAGTCCGCTTCTGGTCATGAGCCCAAGAGGGAAGAACGAAGGAAGAAGAGAAACCACTGCAACAGAAGCCCCCAGGAGCCCAGGGGGACATGGAAGGGGGGACATGGCTGCTCTCAGGTTGCCAGCGGAAGCTGAGACATGTGCCCTGGAAAAGGCAGGTACATGGTGGTTGAATGGGGTGGCTCAAAATGGTGAGTGGGAAGGGTTAGGGTGGAGTTTTACGATGCTGGGCAAAAGGGTGACAAAACAGCCACCTTGGGTGCAATGTGCTTGCAGCTGGAGATGCTGAGGTAGTGTATGAAAACCAAAAACCAAATTAATTGTCTTTATGAAGAATGATGCCTGTAGACCAGAGCTGAAAAGGAGAATCAGTTCTTTGTGTTTTAAAGAAAGAAAAGTTGAACTCAGGTTGAACAGAAGGGGTCACATCCACTTACAGAGTACCCTAAAGATGTTTTCAATTTCAGCTGCATATGCCTCTGTTAGGGGAGGGTGATTCAGAAGGTAGAAGGCACTTCCAGGGGCAACTTCCCAAACCCTTTGGAGTCACATTACCCAGGCAAGACAAAAAACAAAATGAAGCAGGAATAAATGAAGTTGGTAAAGAAGCCTTTTCCTCTCTCTTTTATGGCCCCTCACTCCCCCACCCCTTCCCTTGAGGTAAAGCACAACACATCTTTAGGTTTCGACCCATATGGTTTATGAAGGTACTATACCTGCGGTGATGGTGGTGGTGGTGGTGGTGGTGATGGTGGAAGGGGTGGTGGTGGGTGGAGGGAGAGTTGTGGGAAGATCTAGATAAAACACATAAAAAAAAGAAAGAAACAGAAACAGAAAAAAAGCAAATTAAAGGAAATGAGCAGAACACAAAAATGGTCAATAAATCAACCATTTTTTAATTTTAAATTAAATTTAAATTAAAGAAGCCAAACAAAAGGATGGTGGTTAACAGCTTTGCTTAGTCCTGCCACCACTGAAGGTGGCCAGAGGATGACTGCAGCATGCAGGTAGCAGTCCTCGCTTGGGGTGGATGAGATCCAACGGGACTTAGCCCCCACCTCCCCACCCCTCCAGTATAGGGAGATGGGCGGGGGAGACGGACAGGACACAGAACACACAATTAGTTACAGATGCAAGACCGTGTGGAATGGTATGGGGGAAGCCTGGATGGAGACCACCTCCAAAACCCGCAAGAGAAAACTCCACTCCAGTTGCATGTTTTCCACAGGAAGGAGGTCTGTTTGCAACGCATAAGAACAATATTAAAGCTTCGTTTGTTTTTGTTTATTTGGCTGGTGTTTTGACATCTGAAAAATAGGGGCCAGGCACGTGGGGTGCGGGCAAGAGAAATCCTGCTGTGTTTAACAGACCAAATATCAACACCAGATAAGTCTGCGTCTCTTTCCCTTTGCCTTTCTCCAGAGCAGTTAACTTCATTATTTCCCCCTCCATCAATACATCCCAGCAGGATATAAAACTACTTCTAAGCCAGTAATAAATACAAAAGGGAACGAGAATGTCACGACTAAATATCAAGTTGGATGCATGGAAGATTTTAGTGAGATTTCTTTTAACATAAAGTCAATGTCTTTGTGACTTATAAATATTCATACACAGCCAGGATTCCTGCATTTTTCTTCCGTTTAGTACACCTCATCTCCTCCTTTCCTTTTTTGACCACAAAAGAAAAAAAAAAAGACCCTTTGGTCTAGAAGGTGGTTGACCTGTAAATACCAATGTTTGCAAAGGACAGGTGGCATCGTGACTTGGTACCAAAGTTCCTGTGGATGGAGGAAAGAAAGGAGGAGAAGGAGAAGAGATGATGGCGAGAGGGGAGGAACCGCCATATATTGCTGCCCAAATGATCAAACTGAATGTGTTAAGCAGAACACCCGGCTTTGAACTTGGGAATGAATCGTCAGTAATGGAGCTTGAAATGGTTCAGAGGCTTTTGATTTTAAATTTTATCTTAAGCATGTCAAACTTCTCATCACTGACACATCTGCTACTCTTTTATCTTCAAGAGAGCTCTTGGATTTTCTAATTAATAAATCCAAACTTGAATTATGTGTTTCACCATTATTGTGTGCTTGGCACAACTTCCTCAGGAGGAAGGAGACATGCCAGTCTGGGTGCAGGGTGGCTGAGAAAGCACAGTTTTGCTGCCACCCTCTCCCAAGATCCCTGCAGCAGGTGCCAGGCACAGCCTTGCTGAGAGAGCCCTTCTGGGCAGCGTTGGGATTAAATTAAAGGACTGGGCCATCTGGGAATGCAACGGCAGCAGGAGCAAAAACCTTTGTTTGTGGTGTCCAGTTTTAGGGAGAGCTTCCCTGCTTGATCTTAGTCCAGCAATCAGCCTCCACAGCCTCTGGGACGTGCAACAGCAGGGCCCGATGCAGGTGGCCCTCCTGTGTTTGATCCTGGATCAATAAAGAGGCCCCGTTTTATCTATTTCTTTTACGTCCATAGACCCAGCTCCGACACAAACGTGCCAGCAGTCATTTTAGAAGTGGCGACGTTCGTCTGCAGCAAGGTGATTTCCAGGTGATTTCCAGTGGTGAAGCCATGTTGCTGCTCCAAGTCACAGTCCCTTCCCACATAAACAGCAACTGGCTGGTTTATGTGTGAATGAGTCTGGGAACTGCAGCACATGCTCCTGGGAGCATGTGCACCAGAACTCTGCAACTGAAGGCCCCTTCCACATAGAGAAGGCCATGTTTTTCCAGAATGGGAAGGAGGCCAGGAAGGTTTACCCCCTGCATGTGTGTCCAGGGGGTAAAACCAACATCAGGTTGCCTGTCAGCTTGTGACCTCTCATAGGCAACTGGCAGCAGCACAGAAGGCCATAAGAACCATCCTTGTTCAGTGAACCAGGTTCTCTGCTGCCATTCTGTTGAGCTGATGTAGGAGATCACCAAGGAAATCATATCCTCTTGCAAGATTACCAGCAAAGGAGGATCCTGTTATGATTTCCACTAGGAAAGAGCATTTCGGGAAACGACATTTTCCTACTCAATAGGAAGTGAAATATATTTATTCCAGGTAGCTGATCAGTGAAGCACAGAAAGAGATCAAAGGGAAAAGGTACTGAGATGTCTTGAGGCTCAGGACCTCTGATTAGTCCACATAAGAACAAATTTGGCCAGCAGCAGTCAAGCTGGCCGGAAACTCTAGAGAGCTCAGCTTCCAGCCCATGTGGAAGGCACTAGGTTGGGAGGTGGCTGACCTGACCTGAGTTTTGGTGCTCCTGCTCTGTTGTTTGGGAGAGAGCAGGTATGCTAATCATAAGTCAGATTCGCCAGGCATGCCCAACTGGTCCTCGACCAGGAAGGGTTCTGCTAAAAACTAATCTAACAGGAGCAGGTTTAGGTTTGGATTCAAAGCTTGACTTCTAGCCAAGGAAAGGAAGTGCTGGGCTAGCATGTTTCAGATACAAGACAGCAGACCAGGAGACTTAAGGAACTGCTGTTGCAGAAATTTAAGCATGGGCTTCACTCAGTTACTGTTCAGTGTTCCCCATTTCCTCTAGAATTCAACAACCGCTTGCGTTGTTTTTCCAGAAGGACCGCAGTAAGGACAACCACCTGTTCAGCTCCTGTGAGAGGCATCACCTTGTGCAGAAATGATAATTCCATAAGTTGCAGCCTCTCAAAAGAGTTGGAGGTTCTAGCAGGGGAGTGCAGCTATCATATGCCCTTGACTGAAGATCAGTACACTCCTTCTATCTGGGATGGTCGTCCTCTTCCACCGAGCAGGCAGCTTTGGGAGGAACGGGACACCCGCCTAGCCAGCCAGATGTGCCAAATCAACCCTGGTGATCAATGGGGTGACAGATGTCGCAATGTAAAAGAGTTGGGCCCATAACTTTAAGAAGACTCCCTCTTCCAGCCTGTGCTTCTTCCTGCTGTTCCCAGCCTAACCAGTTTTCACTCCTGAACTTGCACCTGCCTCCAGCAGATTATGGAACAGTTAATGCCCTTTGTTTCATTTGGAAAGTTAGAGATGTGTCACGAACACACACATGCAAGCTCAATCATACAGGAAGAAGAG